TAAACGCTACGTCCAGATCAACAGACTCCACTTTTGGGGATTTATTTAACTGGATGATTGAGCATGCATCAAGAAGCTGCTCAGATAGTTTAGGAAGTTTAAGAAATTTGAAATTTTGTCAAACGTTTTTTTGTTGTGGCCTCATGCACTTAGCATGAGGCCACAATCACCATCATCAAATGCACTGATGGGAGTGAAAAGTTCTGCAAAAAATCTACTAACCACTGTGACCAGATTTCTACAAAGAGCAGCACAAATCAGCAAGTCAAAAACAAGCAGAACCAATGTGGGAGTGAGTACTGTACTCGCCAAATTGTTACAGGGTAAGCACAGGTTTTACACCTTAGGCCTAGATTATACTTTGCAGGATATGAATACAGTTATCTGGAGACCCGACGGTGGAGCAGTCTTTTCTGTTATACATGTTTTATTTCTGCTATATTGGGACTCTCTTCCTCCAACCACACTCCACATTAGGTTCAGTTCAGTCTGCCATTCTGATAACCCTCTGCAATAAACGAACACCAAGTTACAACTATCACAACCACAAAAGCTGTAAAATAAGACATGCATTTTTTCAGTGATAAATTCAGTGTTATTTGCAATAACTAGCCTACCACTCTCCTCATGTTTGTGTGATTCATTTGAATACCCTCCTCCCAAAATTGTTGTGCACTGAAAGGGAAACCTCCGCCCAATTTAGTTTGAAAAATATTCATTGTGCCTCTTTATAAAATCTGAGCAGCAGATCTTCAACACCAAAAGAACATTTTGCACTGATGCTGCCCACAAATCTGGTCCATAGCGACCAACTGAAAACATAAAACTTGGTAAAAGATCTGTGCATATGACAGTGTAGAGTCAGTCAATTATCCTGCATTTTATGCTCAAACCTGAGATAAAGAGTATTATAGTTGGTATAGTAAGTGCAAGACAAAGATTCAAAAAGTTAGTGTGGGATGATATAGTAGTAGAGATATAGAAGTAGCAGCCTCATATTAAGCAAAGAGAAAAATTCATGAGGGGGAGTCATCACAGCAAGTGGTGAAGAAAGCTGTGCAGAGGAGATGAGATATACAGAGATACATCGAGAGTGAGAGAGAGAGAGAGAGAATGAGACAGCAGGGCCATGCAGGCAAGGAGAGATAAGCGTAAAGACCCTCCAGCTAAAGCTGCAAACGCCATTTTCAGCCCCACGCGACCCCTGGTTCAAGTAACGGGCAGAGCAGAGGCTCCAAACAGCGCTACAGAGACAAGAGGGAATGCTGAAGGAGCGCTGCAGAGAAGAACAATCGTTCTGTGAGCGTAGTCCCACGCACGTCCACACACTGTGAAATTCAAATTTCAGGCTCCACATTAAAACAACAAAATAAAGAGTTTAGGCAGGAAAAAGCCCAACCAAACAGTTGGAAGTGAAAAACTCAGCGTGAACCATTTCAGTTCATAAGAAAAAGAAAGAAAGCATTCCTGTTTTTGGTATTACAATATATTATGTGTAACACTGGGAGCGTTCACCCAAAAACAATGGTGCGATTCAGCTGGCTGACAAATACCACACATTTCAAGAACTCGTCACCCCACTTCACCAAGACAGTTCAGTCAGTACTTATGAACACACAACACTGACTGCTGACTACATGTAGAAGCAGGAAACGCTTACTTGAAAGACATCACTTATGAGAAGAAAAAAAAATTCTCTGTAGACTGAGCGAGCCACTGACTTGCAAAGATTGAGCTGGAAGCTATTTGTCTGGTTACATTTGCTTTATAGCTGCTGGCAATACTTACATAACACATAAGAAATTAATTTTTGCTGGACTTCAAAGGGCAACTCCATAGAGTCAGCTTCATTTATTCAGAGTGCCGACATGCAGCTTAAGCAGATTATACTAGGAGCACTCAATAACTCAATCAGTTACCAGAGTAACCAAGGTTACTGAACAACATATAAATTTACACTGCTATGTAACCATTTCAGTCAGTGCTCTGACTATATAGAGCTTAATATAACTGGAAGTAAAAGTGTTATATACACAAATCTCCTACGTTTCTGTGGCTTTGTTTGCACTCGGATGCACAGGGGTTCTGGTTGTAAGCAAGAATTGCTCATTTACATGTCCAAAACTACTAGAGCAACATTTGCAATCACTTCAGGTTGTATCTTGGTTCAGAAAAGGCCTTTTAAGGAGTAAAATGGGTGAGTATGATCAGCCCATGCAGTAAAGTTAAATAGGTTCCTTTAAGCTATGAAAACAGCTGGCAAAAAGTTGAAAATACATTAATGTAACTTACTGTAGGAAAGGGGTATTTTTTAGCTCCCGTTTTAAACCACCTCTTGTGATTTAGTCCAATATCAAAGATCAGCTCATTTTATGTTGCAGAAAAATGCTGTTAGGTACCATAATCGTTTTGAACCTTTGCAATCTACATTACAAACGTTGTCGCTTAGAAGTTGAGGGTGTAGCACACTTCTGATTACAAGGTGTTTGCACAGGTCGCCTAGTGCAACTCAGATTGGTGCAATCATTCAATTTGGCAAAGGGCTGCAATCAATCTGAATCAGTCTGCGCCAGTGAGCCAATCTCCTCTGTGACACTTATTCACATTAGGAAACTCGAGTTGGTTGTTGAGCACCGATTTCAATTTGCAGTTAAATCACCATCCTGCAGCATCCTGCATTATTGGTTGATTCTGGTTGGACTGTAAATGTAGTTAATGTAAATTTCTCTTTATGTAGTTGAAAAGGGATTTGTAATTCACCCGATTATCACAAACGGATTGCACATATTTGCCAACTTGACTCCATTCAATCTCAAAGTGATAGCGGACTGACCATTAACTCACCAAAGTCAATGTGAAGCTAGCAACTTTTTGCGTGTGGTCACAAACCAGATC